TAGAAACGCATATATTTCTTCTTGAAATGTAATTTGTATTAATTTTCAATGCTGATATCAAGGGGAGCACAAACTACCAACCTCTTGACACAATGCATAACACAGTTTTATGAGGACTTCTTATCTGTGTGCTATATTTCAAAGACTGGTTTTCTTTTTACAGTTTAATGAATTTATTTATCTTCATTTAGTTTGGAGGAGACCATTGTGAGATATGTCAGACAGGTGGTGAAGTTTTATGTGTATTATTTATCTTTAGTTTGGAGGAGACGATCGTTAGATACGTCAGACAGGTGGTGAAGTTTTATGTGTATTATTTATCTTTAGTTTGGAGGAGACGATCGTTAGATACGTCAGACAGGCGGTGAAGTTTTATGTCTATTATTTATCTGTGTTTATTTTTATGTGTATTATTTATCTTTAGTTTGGAGGAGACGATCGTGAGATACGTCAGACAGGCGGTGAAGGAGGAGGTCAGTATAGCGGTGAGGGAACAGGGAGCCAGTATCAGCGACAGCGTACTTAACGCCATGAGATCAGGGGCCGTAACTCCTGTACAGGTCACGCCTGACCCCCACCAGCTCCAAACTCAAGTCCTGAATCTCCTCAGACAGGGCCAGCTCAACGCAGCATTCCAACAGGTAAACATCAGGGAAAATGTTAGGTCTCTCTTTTATATCTATATTTCTTTCTTGTATTTTGTGGCATAATAAAAAGCTTGATTTACAGTTTAAAATATCAGTTTCAAATCAATTTATGTCTCTTTTTGATTTACTTTAGGCATTATCAGCTTCTAATCTTGACCTGGTTGTGTTTGTGTGTGAGACAGTCAATCCGTCACAGGTGTTTAACCAGAGCCCATGTCCCCTCCAACAACCTGTACTTCTATCTCTGATACAACAGCTATCAGCTGACATAGGAAACAACACAGAACTTAAACATAAGTAAGTCACAGTCTATTAGAGAACTCAATCACAAGTTAGTCAAACACAAGAAAGTCACCACACTCACAATAATTTTGTTAAATAATGAATTGTAATGAAATTAGAATAAAAGAAAACAAAAGAAAAGTGTGTGTACAAGTATGCCATTAATGTATTTCATTAGCAATTGTTAGCATTCCTGTATATGTACAATACATTCTTTTTATTGCAGATACTTGGAAGAAGCTGTGATGAATCTAGACACTTCTAACCCTGTGACTCAAGGCCACATGAGAGGCGTGTTAATGGGACTGATTCAAAAACTGAAGACCTACATAACAGCTAACCCTAACGACAAGACCACACGGTCCTTACGCATGTTACAAATGGCATCAGAGTCTTTACTTAAGTGAACAGGGGTTGTCTTAGCTTGTCAGAACTTCCATTGTTATAAAAACAGGATCTCTGCTATAGATAAAGTAATGTGTACTAGGAGGAACACGTTATAGAACAGTCAAGGATCCTTGGAAATTGAGTCTCAGTTAAAGCTGGAAGATTTATTATATACATGTAGGAATCATGAACTTTGTAACTCATTTTAACTTGAATGGATACAGGAGTGTAAAAGTTAGTGAATTATCATTTTGTTTATTTTTAGTACTATGCCATACTATTTGAGAACTTGCTGTATTTGTAGTATTTATGTAATTGATGGAAAACAAACCTGTCTTATAGATGTTAATGAAGCAATATTTTATATGTTTAAAATTTGTTAAGATATAGATAAAATCGTTCTTCTATTTAGTTTCAAAGGAATTATTTAAATCAGATATGGGCTGCAGACACTGCTAGGAAAAATTCTTTGTAGCACGCACTAGTTTTTAGTGTTAGATTTTGCAAATATCATGATAATTATTACATAATGATTACATTTTAAGTTTTTTCTGTTCATATTGTTTTTCTTTCAAAGAAATTTTGAGAAAAAAAATTGTTACCAGCCTTAGTATGTAGGCTCTATCTGGTATAACTGTTTTGAGAACAAAAGTTCAAATGATTTTTATGTAACATCTTTAAAGATAAGTTATGATTTAAAAAATGATTTGTGTTACAGATGAGTGATTGTGAAGTCTAGGTGTTAGTTGTTAGTTCAAGTCTGAATGTTAGTGTCAGGAAGAAAATGTAGCAATTCAAGAATATTTGGTTGATCATACTTGTTTTATAAACATCAAATAATGTTTACATGTATCAGTGTTTTTACTGTGATAAAATACAATAAATATTGTAAACATTTTCAATCTGTTTTTTTTTTGCTATTATAATGTGGTCAAATGCAAATGGATGCTTTGCTTTCAATTTATAAAGCATTAAAATTTTTTTTAGACAGTGATAAAATGATGAAGTGTTGGATCCATTTAGCATCCAAATGTTTCTCCACATATTCGTTTAATTGTTTATACTTTTTATGAGAACATCACTGCTTGTAAACTTCAGCAGTGATCGATCTCTAAAAAATATATATACATTTCGGATATCTTTGTCAGATGAATCTTTTGAAAGAAATGGAGATAACGAACAGTATTCAAGATCAAATGTCCTTAAAAACTACAAAATAGAAGCAGAGCAAACACGGACCTCCAAAACATCAGAGGTGGGATCAGATGCCATGCAGGAGTAAACATCCACTGCCGACAGGTCACATCCCCATGTGCTCCTTGTCATGATCAGGAAATAACGGAAAAAATCCGTCTTCAATTCAGTGTATAAATAATGGACTAACAAAAACTGAGAATAAGGTCAGCATTTGACTCAATGATAAATTGTATTTGCTGACAAGGTCATTGTATCGACCATAGAACTGACGAAATAATGACTTTAAACGAGACTGCTGATATTCTTGTTTCATCAACTTGTTTGTCAATAATTTACCTTGTTTTAGAAATTGTTCATAAGTAGAACATGCTCTTGGGTATCGAATCAACTGAGATATATAAACTCTGTATGTAAGTGATGAAGATATATTGATGCATAAGTAAGGGAAGTTGATAGAGTAAATTAAAAGTTGAGCATTAAAAACTGAAAACGGTAGGTTTTGAGGTTAAGAAATTTATTTGATTTTTTAAAAAATATAATATTTATCTTTCTGACAAAGAAGATCTTACTGTGGCGCTATTATTTTAACTGGTGGAACTAAGGCCTTGATTTTTTTACTGGCACCAAGGAATATATCTGTGACAGATCCATGGAGAACCCTGCATCCAATAACAAGAGTAATCTTTTATAAAAAAAAGATTGAAGGAGAAATAATGTAATAATAATAAAAATACATGTACATTTAAGGATGCATATACAGTGTATACCACAAACAAATTTTCTAAATTTTGCAGTCCTATTTTTTAAATATTTCTTTCAATGGAAATATAATTAATGAATTTCAGTTGTGTAAAGATACACCCTTGAAAATGTCCATAGAAACTTTGAAGCAAGAAAGCTGAATACACTCTATAAACTTAAAAAACATATATTGAACTGTAAAATTGCATTTTTGCACTTTTTACCAACTTATGTGGCTTGACAGAACGCGAATCATTTCGAAGAGATAAAGCCTATTTAGGTGTAAGAGATTACTAGTATATAAGACCATATCTTTCTTTCCTTATCACAATATTGTTCAACTTTAAATAGAAATCGTACACTAGCTGCCTTTAAAAAATAACAGGGACTCTTTTTATCTGCCTCTCATTTATAGAACGATAAATTTAGTTATAATTTTTACACAATGAAAGACTTGAAGAAATTTTCAAAAGTAAGTTAAGGTAATTCCACCCTCCTATGATGTCATGAGTTTTTGCAAAAACTGTGATTAGTTTAAATTCATACCTTATTTCAAAAAGATCACGTGACGTCTCAGGGTATGGCGGCTTAGTTTTGAGCTCCGGAGATTTTGGTCAATTTAGGGCATTTCTAGCAGGATTTAATATTCGTATTTTGGTTGACTGTTTGTTTCTGTGCTTTGAGAGAGCTATCTGTGATATTTGTGAAATTTCTGCATTGACAATGCCGTCAGACAGAAGAAAAACCGGGGCTACTTCTAAAAAACAGGTTGAGGAGTGCTCACAGAAGAATGCAGGTAGTGAACCGTTAGAAGACCCAGCCGATAATGAGTCAATTGTTGCCACTATTCAGGACATTAAATCATCAGTGGAAACTATTAGAAATGATTTGTCGGAGGGTGATCAGAGTGTAAATGCAAAATTAAAATATGTTTCTGAACAAAGTGAGAGCAATTATGAAGATATATCTTTGCTGCGTCAAGAAAACGCTCAATTGCGGAGAGAACTGGAATTACTACGATCGGTTGTAATCCGAATGGACAGGAAAATGTCCGTCATCGAAAATGATGTTACGGATCTTAGATCAAGGTCAATGCGGGATAATATCCTCATTCATAATTATCCTTTCGAACCCAACGAAAACCTAACCACGTCCATGCCAGCTACTTTTAAAGAACTTCTGGGGGTGGATGTCAGCTTTGTAAGGATTCATAGGAATGGGGTGCGTCCAGAATATAATTCCGATCGACCTGTATCCATTACCGCAAAGCTGACTGACCGTAGTAAAATCAACACAATTCTTAATGCCCAAAAGCTAAAGAAAATTGCTAAACAACCATTGCCTTTCTTTATTACAACGCAGCAACCTGCATCTATTGTTTCCGCTCGAAACAAGGTGTTTGATACGGCAGATAGTTTGCGCAGCCAAAACATCACTGTTAAGATTCAAAAGAATCAGGTCATCTTGCCCAACGGCTCCACATATAAAGATGACGTACCATTTCTCACAAATGCAGATGCTTTATTGGTAATACCTGAAGAGACAGAACACCTAGACTCGGTTGAAATAAAAAACTCGGACCCAATCAAAAAGGACGGTTCGGAATTTATGGCTTTCGGTGCTCGAGTTAAAAATGTGGATGATGTGAAGAAGATGTACAGCAAAGTCCTAATAGATCCCTATGCAGCAAGTGCTGATAACCGAATTTTGGTGTACAGATTATCTACAGAGAACGGTACCGTTCACGAAAATTATCATGACGATTCAGAACACGGGGCTGGGCGTAAGATGCTGCGCTACATGAAAGAAAACAATATAAATAATGCAGCTTTCGTTATCACAAGGTGGATGGGGGATGCCCATATTGGACCCCAGAGATTTTCAATTATGGAACAAGTGATTAATGAAGTCGCCAATTCTTTAGAAATGTGACTTTTCAAACAGTTTAAGACTGACGGTAACTATAATATCAGGTGACCTTTTTGATCTTGTAAATATGTTCATTTTTCATATATAGGCCTAAGTACGAATATTAATGCCGCTTTCCCTTCAAATTCAATACAACGAAAGTTTTTATTAAGAATATTATTTTTGTTTAATATATAAATGGGTAAAGCCGGATTTAAAAGTAGTTTTCAACTTGGAAAATATATTCATACTTTTCCGGATTTAAATGTTTACCCTTTTTGGTTTACTATTTTTTTCTCGAAGCGGCATATCCGATATGATTTGTAAAATGTCTTTGCCCTATCGACTAAATCTCTAACAAGACGTGCACACCTATCACTCTATGATGCATGTGTCTTTATTGCTAAACCATTCTTTAATCTCCTCTTTTATCTTCTCTTCTATCTTTCGCATGTTTAGAGCAACACTTTTTCTGATGGTGAGTAAATATTTGTCCAAGTTTTTTGCACCAGTTCAATTTCATATTTCATGTCTGGGTTTACAGTAGTTTCAGCAAATTGTCAGGGTCTTCATGATTTTAAAAAGAGAAAGGACGTATTCCAATATTATAAGCAATTTCAATGCAATATTCTATGTCTACAAGACACCCATTTTACAAGTGATATGGAGAATGATATTAGAAATGAATGGGGATACGAGGCTTATTTTAATTCATTTTCGTCAAAGTCAAGAGGTGTTGCTATTTTTTTTAATAATAATTTTGAACATAAGGTTCATAATAGAATAGATGATGACGCGGGAAATCTTTTGGCTTTAGATTTAACAATTGAAAACAAGCGTCTGAGTTTAATTTCAATATATGGACCAAATGAGGACACACCCTCATTTTATGAAAGATTGTCAAATATTGTAAAGGACTTATCAAATCAAGATGTTATTTTGGTAGGAGATTTTAATCTAGTTTTAGACCCAGAAAAAGATTATTTTAATTATCTTCATATTAATAACCCAAAGGCAAGAAGCAAAGTTCTAGAAATCATCTCTGAGTATGATTTCAGTGATATTTTTAGAGAAATGCATCCTGATGAAACAAGATATACTTGGCGTAAACCTTCCCCTTGTAAACAAGCAAGATTAGATTTCTTTCTCATATCAAATTCTTTTTTAAATAGTGTTCAAGAAAGTAGAATTTTGAATAGTTATAAATCTGATCACTCACCAATATGCCTAAAGATTAAATTGAATGAGTTTACTCATGGAAAAGGTTTGTGGAAATTTAATAACTCACTTCTTAAAGATATTAAATATATTGAAACGGTCAACAAAGTTATTCAGGAAACAAAGGAAAATTATGCATTACCTATCTATTCTAAAGAATATATCAAAGAAATATCAGATTCAGAAATTCAGTTTACTACGGATGAACAGCTTTTCCTTGAAACACTCCTAATGGAAATTAGAGGCAAGACCATTTCTTATTCTAGTTATGTAAAGAAAAAAAGCAATGAGAAAGAAAATCAGTTAATTTCTGAAATCGAAAATTTGGAAAAAGACTACGATAAAAATATTCAAACAATTTATAATAAGAAAAAGGAATTGGAAAATATAAGAGACCATAAACTTATGGGAAATATCATAAGGTCTAGAGTAAAATGGATGAATGAAGGAGAAAAACC